GGGGGCGTGGGGCTGCCCTATCTTGTGGGGGTATTCAAACGTTAAAGCGTACAATAAAAGAGTGGGGCGGCTGGTGGTTAGCGCAGCTGACTCATGGCGCCGGGGACCCGGGTTTGATCCCACCCTTGGGCGACTGCCTGCGTGGAGTTTGCACATTCTCCCCCGTGTCTGCGTGGGTTTCCTCCAGGTGGTCCAGTTTCCTCCCACAGTCCAAAGATGTGCGGGTTAGGGTGGATTGGCCGTGCTAAATTGTCCCATAGTGCCCAGGGATGTGCAGGTTAGGGTGGATTGGCCGTGCTAAATTGTCCCCTGGTGCCCAGGGATGTGCAGGTTAGGGTGGATTGGCCATGGGAGGAGATGGCAGGTTCTTGTGAGGAGCGGGTGGGTGTGGGGGAGAGCGTGGGGGAGGTGGGGGTGTGAGATGGGATTCGAAACACCAACAGATCGGACTGGATGGGGGAGATGGGCTGAAGGGGTCGAATGTCCTACTGTTTCATACAGAGAGTGGTTTGGTTGTGTCGAGCGTCACTAAAAGCAGACACGCCCTGACTGTTTTTGATCTTTTGTTCCGTCAGGACACTTTGCAAGAACACCAATCTTTCAAGGGTGAAGTAAAGCTCATCCTGGACGAGTAGAGACTGCTGACTGTGTTGATAAGTGGACCTGGTTCTTCGCTTCACCCGTAAGTGGAACCAATTTGGCGCATGTTGGAGCTTTCTTTTTATGTTGTAAATGACAACAAATACACAAAAATACCACTGTAAAGACTTGGGCTTATACAATTCAAAGTCTGGCCTTGGGTAGTGCTAGGGACCTAGCAGGTACATAATTGTTTGAAGTTTGCGTCACAGTGGTTAAGAAGGCGTTTGGTCTTAAGTTAGGCGTTAGGAGTTGGGGACGTCATGCTGACGTTGTACAGGACATTGGTGAGGCCTCTTCTGGAGCACTGTGCCCAGCTCTGGTTGCCCTGTTACAGAAAAGATACTATTAACCTGGAGAGATTTACCAGCATGTTGCCGGGTATGGAAGGTTTGAGTGATAAGGAGAGGATGAATAGACCGGGACGTTTTTTCACTGGAGCGTAGGAGGTGACCTGACAGAAGTTTATAAAACCATGAGGGTTATAGATAGAGTTAATGTAGTTGACTTTTCCCTAGGATGGGGGATTTCAAGACTAGCGGGCACATTTTTAAGGCAAGAGGAGAGAGATTTAATAAAGGCATGAGGGGCAAATGTTTTACACAGAGAGTGGTTTGTGTGTGGAATGAACTTCCAGAGGAAGTGGTGGATCTGGGGACAGTTACAACATTTAAAAGACATTTGGATAAGTACATGGATAGGAAAGGTTTGGAGGGACATGGGCCAGGAGCAGGCAGGTGGGACTAGTTTAGTTTAGGGATTAGGGTCGGCATGGACTGGTTGGGCCGAAGGGTCTGTTCCCATGCTGTATGACTCTATGAGGAGTGGGATTAGCATGAATGGCCTCTTCAGTGCTGTCCTCTCCAGTTATTTGTTCAAAAGGAGTTGGGCGTCTCTGGCCAGGTCGAGCATTTCTTGTTTTTTTTTTGCCCGTCCCTAACTGCCCCTCCAATCCCATGGTGTCTTTCAGTCAGCCCCATTGCTGCGGGGTCTGAGGCACATGTAGGCCTGGACCGGGTAAGGATTTCCACCCCTGAAGGGACATCGATGAACCCGAAGGGGGTTTGGTGACATTGCCCAGTGGTTGATAATCGCCTCTGGACTAGTTTCCACTTGCATCCAGCATTCACGAATCCGCTGGTATTAACCATGACACCACCGCCTCCCTTCATCATCCTGTAAGAGACTGCAAAAGGATTTAGATAGTCCAGATTGGAGTGAAAGACCTCTGACCTGCATCCCATGACATTCACATCCTTAAATAAGGAGCAGTGGACTCACTACTAGTGTCATAGAGTCATACAGCACGGAAACAGACCCTTCGGTCCAACCAGTCCATGCTGGACACTACGGGACAATTTAGCACGGCCAATCCACCCTAACCCGCACATCCCTGGGCACTACGGGGCAATTTAGCACGGCCAATCCACCC